TCAATGATGAAGGTCATTGTATTAATACTGATATATCCCAGGCCAACCCATTTATTTATTCTATAGCTTAGGTTGCTAGAAAGTTCCTAACAGTAAGACCATATCTGTAACTTACATTTATTTTTTTCAAGTTTTTCATCCATAGACAAACCAAGGACCAAAGGTTTGAAGAAGGTTTCCAGGCGTGGCTTAATTGTCTAACTCCGGGCTAAATATTCCTAAGTCTTTCAGCAATATATAATAAGGTATACAATAATAAAATTATTCCCTACCTTGATCTAGACATTTCTGCAAATAAGGAAACAACTTTACATGTGGTTAGCTTTTTATGCAGCTCAATCACATCATTGTTTCAACTGAATTTTCATTTATCTAAATACGGTAGGTCTCTTTCCTATGAACTGCCATTAAGCTAAGTGGTCCTCTTGATGCACTTGTACATTCATATAAAAATAATGGGCACGGATCTGTGTTATTCCCATACTCAGTGACTAGGAGCTAAAAGTGAGTTAGAGAGGAATGAAGGCAAGTATAGTGAAGAATGGAAAAGTTTACTCTTCATTTCTTTTGTTTCTTTTATTTTCCTGCTCCCCTCTTTTGGAAGTAGACATAGTGTCATTTTCTCTTTTTTTTCAACACTTAGCAAAGAACCTAGCCAAGAGTAGATGCTCAAAACATTTCTGGTCAATGAATTTATCTGAATTTTTATGTCAGACATAATTCAATAATGAAAGCAGGAATTAGAAACAGCACCAGGTGGCAACAAGACATTTCAACAGGATGATTATTTATGGATCATAGATGCGAATCACCTGTGCCTAGAGAAAAGGCATCCATATTCCTATTCTTCCCTCCTCTGCTCAGCAGCTTAGTTCCTCAGGCACAGAGCTCAGTTAGTTCTCTAAGAGAGTTTCACTATATTGTAGATTTTTAAACTTGTAGACTAACCTAACTACCCTTTAAAAGGTTATTTCTGAGCCATGAATTTAAAAAGGAAAAGTGAACCAGTGGCAGGTGTGTTTTACTACATGATTCTTCCCTAAAGACTGATTTGCTCAGTTTGCAGCTTGTTGATGTCTCTGGGTTTTCATCATTGTTTCTGATGATGGCCTTCTGGATTTTGGCAACTTTTGAATAGAGAAATCAAAATAAAATTCAAAATTAGTTAATTTTTTTTAACTTGCTAGGAGTGACACCTGACAAATATTTATGTTTTATCATCCATGAATCTGATTTGTTTCTTGCTATTCCAACTCCAAATATTATTGGCAGATTGTATTAGTCAGGGTTGATCAGAGAAACAGGACCAACAGAGTGTGTGGGGTAGGGGAGAGAGAGAGAATGCTATAGTATAAAGTGAACACATCTGATGTTACGTGATAAGGGAATAAGAGAGGGAAGAAAATAAAGGTATTTGCTATGCATATATATTATATACACACAAACATATTCATAACAAAATAAGGAGGAAATACTCATGACGATGATAGTTCTCATTTTTATAACTGGTCACATGGGCATAACTGGTATTTTTAACTACCTTCTTCCACCATCCATTTTGTATTCCTTTTGCTTTTAGCAAATACTTCAGCTGGTCATGGTTCTTTACCTGGTGAGGTGAACCAAACCTTCATTCTTAAAAGGTGTGGACCATCAGTAGTCCTGCTTAGACTGGGTTGTTGTAGTCATTTTTCCATTGCCTTTAATCACAGGGCATAGTAGTACTGAGATACTGCCTAAGGGATCTCCTGTATTCCAGACATACTCTTCCTTACCTCCACTGTGCAGCAGTAGTCCAATTATTCAGGATTAATTCAGGATTTGGGATTAATTACCCCAGCTAACACAGTAACTTCCTTCTTTGCCTGTGGATTCAGAGATATGAGAAGTCGTCCAAAGTAACTGGGTGGCAGTCTTAACTTCCAGTTCAATAGAATCATTGTATGTCCTAGTGGAAGCATTCCTTGCTTTGGAACTAAGACCTCTAGGCCAGCAGAGCACAAGGTCATGGGAACAGAAAGCAAAAACTTTGCTACTAGGTCACTAGGGGTAGTAGTGACTGGTGCCATTCCCAGGTCCACCCTTTAATTCCTGGACCTGTGAATCCTGGCTGTGGGAGAAATAGCTATATGATTCATACAATGCTGAACCTTCTCCCAGCCTGCAAGGTGTTGCCACCTACCTGGTGCCATAAGTGAGTCTTCAAAAGGCTATTCCAGAGAGATAGGATCAAGATAGCCAACTAGATACAGGTACAATATATATATGTATCTCCTTCACAGAGAGGAACCAGAATAGTAAACAGATTCTCACATTTCAAACAGATCATCTAGGAGAGAACACTAGGATTCACCAGGGAAGCAGTGAGAAGCACCAAAAGTGGGTAGGGAGAGAGTTCAGGGGAACTTGCCCAGCCTGGGGCTGGCTGACAGCTGGGAGAAGCTCCTGGATATGGTGAAACAGTAGGAGAGACATACAGTGCAAAGGAGAGACAATCAAGATCCCTGCTAACTAAATTATTACATAAGGCTGGAGAGTTAATATACCCATGAGATTGGACAATGAAGGTGTATTGCTGGGCTTATCAGCTGAAAACAAACTGCTTCTGGTGGATCTTATCAGCAAGTATAGATAAAAAGTCATTTTCCCAATCAATAAC